TGGAGTTTTCATTCTCTTCACAGCTGAAATCTTTTTGATGTTGCCATGTGTGAGATTCACACCCTAGCATCAGCTGATATCAGATATCATTCCAGTGAAAGAATCGTTTCCTTATTTAGCCACGTTACATCACCTTGCTTTACATCTAAATACACGCATATCCATAGAGCTTACATGCCCACACACTACATCTACATCAATTACACACTTGAGATGCAGTACAGATGATGACGCCTTGATTTTTCCTCGACAGAAGTAGCTCCCTGTCACCTAGAAATCTATGAGAAAATTGACATCAGTGCCTGGAACTGATGGTCAAATAAAATCATTCTGGGACTTATTGATGTTTTCTTTGTCCCTTCTTTCAAGACCCGATAGAGTTCTGGCTGCGGCTGCCAGATGAGCGCCTGAGAATCATTAGTGAAGCTGATTTGATTTACGTCCTGTGTAGATGAGGCCACCCAAATGATCTGCCTCTCCATGGCCGTCATCAATCACCGCCAACCAGAGGGCACAGCAAGCATGCATGGGAAAGAGAGCGGGGTGGCACACCAAAGCAGCCACAGGGCTGTGTGTGTATATGTGGGCATGTAAGAACACACTGCACAAATGTGTACTGTAAATGTTTGTGTGTGTTTGCAGTGTGAAAATAACTGCTTGCTAACTGTGTGTTCTATTTTGTTTCTGGATGGGAATTTATTGTGTGTATATCTATTTGAGTTGTGGACTTGTAAGTTCAGGAATGATTTTTTAGCAAATTATAAACAATTATCAAGGTGATAATTATCAGGTTAATTCTGCATAGCAGAGGTAAAATTATATTCCTATTCCTGATCATTCTTGACCCGAAGAGAGAGAGCGGGTAACATTCTCAGACTGTCCAAGAAGTGAACGGTTCAGGTTTGATCAAGATATTCTGGTCCATGATCTTTACTTTGAAAGTATTTACCTTTGTTTTTTCCTTCACTTACAGTGCCCTTGGTGTGTCTTTGAGTGTATGTGTTTGGTTTGTTTGTGTGTTTGCACGTGTATGAATACTTGTGCATTTGTCCGTGAAGTGTCAGCCTAGTGAGAAATTGGTGCATTTCCATTTGAGGGCTGATGATTGACGGCCAACTTTTGCTTCCCTGGGAGTATGTTGTTGCTGGCAAGAATCCATGGGGCCTTGTTTGCTAACAGAGAGTTGGCACAGGTTCCACTTCACAGTGGCGCACAATTAATGCCATTGCACTGTTGCATCAGCAATAATCTCTTAAAACCAACAGAGACCAGGAAACGGATCAACATTAAGTTAATCGAAATGTCTGTATCTGAGCCTCCGCCAATCGCAACCACCTCCACGCTTAAACACCACGGCAATTGTTTTATTGGAACATGCATTCTCAAATAACTCTCTGTGATATGCTAATGAAGCACTAATCCTTTATAGTGTAGGTCTATTTGCACATTTGTAGCGTTCAGAATCCAGCAATTCCTTTGGATTCATGTTAAAGGAATATTCAATTAGAAATGCTGTATCAAATCTTGAATTTATGATTTAAATATTGGTTTTGTTTTGCTAATATGCTGGCGTGATAGTGATGATCTTCAAACAATGAATACTTCAAAATACAAACTCGGAACAAGATTGCACTCTGTGGATTATAACTGAAATGCCGTATTTCACACATGGAGGGAAAACTAGTCTTTGTGTGCATGTAAGTGTAGATCTCCACACACACTTACTTATATATATGTGTGTGTGTGTTTGTGTATGTGCAGGGGGTGAAGGCCAAATTAGCCAGGTTGTATAAGCAATTATTGGGGCACACTATGTTCCTAAGCATCCTAATGGGTACGTAGAGGAGGCATTATTCAATTAGAGTGGCTGTTTGCTGTAGTGAGGAACAGAGCAGTGGTGACAGCGCCGGTGTCTTCTCCTTATGAAACAACCTATTTAAGCTAAATCAACTCCCACTTAAGAGCTGCGGTAATAAGCACGCGGCGATGCTCACCGGCCCGCAGGGGCCCATCCGTCATGCTGTAATACGGAATCAGAATGAGTGATAACACCTAGTCCTGT